CTCCCCCTGGTAGCCCCGCCCTGGGAAAACTGCACAGTTCTGGCTGCTGAGCTAGGCCAGGCCCAGCGGTGTAGTGGGGTATGTACAAAGACTTGCAGGGGGCACATCACTTTCCCTTGTATGACCCTCTGCACACTTTCTCCCTTTTTCTTCCTTCTAGAATCCCTTTTCCTGCTTCCTTCTCACCTTCCAACCTACCAAGCTACCTTTTATCTGCCCCCACCTCCAGCTCTATTTAGTATTTATTCATTTATATCACACTTTTCTCCACAATAGGGACCACAACGGCTTACATTCTCCTCGTCTCTGTTTTACCCTCACAACAATGCTGAAGCCTGAGTGTGTGTGACTGGCCCTAAGGCACCCAGTGAGCTTCAATGACAGAATGGGGATTTGAACCTGGTCATTCCAGATCCACATCTGAAATTCTAACACCGATGGGACCACATTGAGAGTTAGATATATTGATATATTTATGTTTTAAACTGGTACAAATGTGTAATTTTTGTGCGGTTGGTTTTTCTTTTTATGACAGCCAGGGATGCAGGATACACTTGAATATGGACTAAACCGAGTGAGTGATCCCAATGAAACTGAGGTAAACCAGGTAAGTTTTGTCCTTCAGTATTTAATACATTCTTCAGCAAATGTTGGACTTCTGTAAACCCGCATGGTAAATGTGTACTTACGGCCTAAAGGAGTCTCAGCAAAGCACAGGTGGGTTGGTGAGCCCAAGAACCAGTGGTGAAAGTGAGCAGGATGTAAAGTACTATAGAAACATTACAGAGTTCTGGAAAACACTGCATTCATATTGATCAATGAGCTCAGAGTACCAGCAAAGAATAAAAGAAAGAGCCTTTAAGATGCCACAAAACACAAGACTTTTTTGCTTTGTGATAACAGACAAGCACAGCTACCCTTCTGGAAATTTCTAACAAAAGAAGTAGTTCAGCTTCACCACTGAGTGAAAGATCCATGCCTTTTCTTCTCCTAAATCTGGTAGACTAATACACAAGTCCTTAGATAGTGGCTTTCTTGGTAGGATTGCCAGGGGATCCTTAGTCCATTCTGAGATCTTCTGGCATGGTGACATCACCTGGAAGCAACATCACCATGTCATCAACCCTAGGGTTTGTAGCCAGTTTTACCATAGAGCTTTGCCCAAAGAACTAGAGCCTCACCCCGACATCAGCAACGTGATGATGTTACTTCCGAGTGATGTCATCATGGCGCCTTTCGGGCCAGTTGAGGGTGGGATTTCTCCCCGCCACCCAGCTGGACAGTAGTGGAGAAATGCCCCACAAAAGCAGGTGTTCCCCCATCCCTGGTGGGGGTCAAGCAACCTATTTCTTGGCCTAGTTTTTATGGAGGTGCTTATCCTTGAGTCTGGTCTATGCCATTTCCTACAGCAGCTTAAGGGCTCACATGATCTTTCATTAAATAAAACCCAACAATCCCTGCCCATAAAACAAATGGTATATCAGGGAAAATAGTCCTAGTCTAGTCTTTTCACTAATATGTTACCTTTCTAGGTGAAGGAATTATTTTATGGGGGTGCATTATCACCCCCATAAAATAATTCACAACATCTTTCCTCTCAGTCCTTTTTCTTTGACTGAGATTCGAACTATTACGAGTGAAAAATTATGTGTTTTAAAACCATATGACTAATTGTTGATGACATATGGTTTTTGGAAGTATAATTAATTTCATGTTTAAATAATTTAATATAGATTACTAAGTGTGGGCCTGGACCATGTTCAGCCCTGTGCCCCACTCTGGGAAATTGAGAAATCTGCACCCCTGCCTTGTGTTTGAAGTGACACCATCCAAAGGTCTGTTCCGCATTGAAAACTATATCCTTCTTAGATCACTGTTACTAGCAGAACAAAGTTTGAGTCCAGTGGCACCTTTAAGACCAAGAAAGTTTAATTCAAGGTATAAGCTTTCATGTGCAGGGCACACTTCTCCAGATAGCAGTTATCCTAAGAATGAATCATTCTTTGGAAGCCTAGCCAAGAGTACATTCTGGCCATGTGCCATATCTGTTTACTGAGAGTGAAGGAACAAAAGAGATTGTAAGCAAGGCAGTTGAAGTGATCTGGTATTTATAGATCAGTTGGCATCCCTGCTGAAGAGTAGTGAGTTAGATGCATGTAGAAACCACTAATACGGTTCCCCAGTGGAGAGACTAGGAGCCTCGTCCCCATTGTTCCTACAGAGTCAAGCTCAGGGGTATTCGCTGGCTCCTGGTGGCAGTCAGCGGACATAACACCTGCTAAAGGTAAATCTAGGATGTTTGGTGTGAGAAACCAAAGCCTTCCTTGTGGCAATTGTTTTCATCAAGCTCAGTAGGTTGCTAATAAACTTTTCATTTGCATGAGGGTTCTCTCAACTATTCCAGCTGTCATATGTGAATAGTTGCTGTGGCCAAGTGGGCTTGGTTGCTGTGGAGACTGAAAAGAAAGCTAAATTCTTCAAGCCTCATAAGAACCACTTGTAATACATTCATACATGTCTGTAGACCAAAGCAGGGAGTAAATTGGGACAGGCTTTCTTTTAAAAGGGACATCTTGCTACTCCATACATGTTAGGAATTCATCAAAAGGCAGGCATACAAAAAGGCATGCTTGTGGTGATATTTTGGTAAAGGAAGGTGAAATGTGTTGATGCCTTTCAGCCTTGCTTCTTGTAAATGCGTATGTAAAGTTGCAGCTGACTTATGGCAACCCCAGCAAGGGGCTTTCAAGGCAATTGAGAAGCAGAGGTGGTTTGCCATTGCCTTCTTCTGCAGAGTCTTCCTTGGTGGTCTCCCTCCCAAGTTCTGATCCTGCTTAGCTTCTGAGGTCTGATGAGATCAGGCTATACCATGCCACCTGCCCTCGCTCCGTTTCTTGTAAATACATGTCCTCCGAGGAATGAGAGATGTATCCTGCCATCAAAAGAATGGAGAAACTAAAGTATGACTGGCCAGTTCATACAATAAAAGTCTTCATGACAGCAATTGGATGAGGGTTATGTGCCTCCTAGATGTACATAGGCCTGATTCTGTTGATACCCACAATGTTCAGTGAACAAAGGCTTCTGTCTTGCCCCCAACTTAGGGTTACTGATTGGGAAATTCCTGGAGATTTGAGGGTGGATTCTGGGGAGGGCTTACAAAAGGACGTGAGGAGTATAAAAGGAGGGAAGCCAGAAGAGCCAGGGAGGATTTCGGAGGCAACTGGCTCGGCCAGTGAGAGGGAGAAATACATGGCTGTCGACCCCGAGGAAGGGGTAGGGGGAGTGACGGAACTCCCTTACCCTTCCATATCTGAGGCTCTTGCTTCCCTCCAATACCCTCCGCAAGCACAGCGAGTGCCCCTCCAAAGCTAGGGGACACCCCCGGACGTGACATATTTATTCAGATTTATAGCCCTCCCTCCCCACAAGTGGGCTCAGGGCAGCTCACAAATGGGCAACATATGCCAATAGTTAAAACAATAAAAACAAGATAAAAACAACATTTCCAACATAAAGTGCTCTAGATGTTACAAAAAGATCTTCATTCACAAGATGGTGTCCTGGGGATGGTAGTCCCAATTCCATGGCCTCCTGGGAATGTTAGTCTCAGTTCAGTGGTATGGGTTCCACGCAATATTATAATAACTTGTCACAGGGCCATCACACGCCCCGATGCTACCCAGCCCAACTAGTGGTGGTGTAGCAACAATGGTGCGGTAATGATGATGCAGTAGAGGTGGAACAGTAGTGGTGGGTCCTACTCAAAAGGCTGGCAGAAGAGCTCCATTTTACAGGCCCTGCAGAACTGAACAAGGTCCCGCAGGGCCCAGATCTCCTCCGGGAGCTCATCCGCCAGATAGGAGCCACCACCAAAAAAGCCCTGGTCCTGGTTATGGCAAACCTGGCATCTTTGGGGCCTGGTATCACCAGGAGGTGTTGTGTCCCCAACCGTAGTGCCCTTGGGGGAACATATGGGGAAAGGCGGTCCCTTAGGTATGTCGGACCCTGGGCATATAGGACTTTAAAGGTAAGAACCAGCACTTTGAAGTGAATCCGGTACGCTATTGACAGCCAGTGGAGCGCTTTCAACACAGGCTGGATGTGCTCCCGCCTAGTGAGGCCCATCAGCAGCCTGGCTGCAGCATTCTGCACTAGCTGCAAGCTTCCAGATTTGCGACAAAGGCTGTTGGTTCTGTTGGGCTTGCACTGCCACAGTGGCCTAGGGTTCTGCTTGGCTTCTGTTGTTTGATATTGGTTTTGTTGGGCTGGCAATAGTGTCCCTTCCATTGCTTCAGTTCGTTTGGCTTGGATTCTCTGGTTTGACATTGGATGTGTTGGGCTTGCCACATTGGCCTGTGGTTCTATGGGGATTCTCTAGTGTGAAGTCAGTTCTATTGGGCTTGTTAGTTCTGTTTGCATTGGGAGACTTTTGGCCAGTGGTTGCTTGCTCTAGAGTGTTTGGCTATTCCTTCCCCTGGAGAAAGCATGGGTTTTTTCCTCATAGGAAACAATGGAGGATGGCTGGGACACCTTGTTCCGGGGCCCATAGCATTGGACCCCATGGTCCAATTCACTTGAAACTTTGAAGGGGGGTGTCTTTAGTGGACAGGCAGTGCTAACTCAAGTGCAATTTTGGGGTCAATTGCTCGAAAAACAGCCAACTCCAGCCCTCTGGAAATATTCTCTTTGGGACATAATGCATCTGAATAATTTCAGACCCTCCCCCCCAAAACCCAGGCCCAAATATGGGACTCAAATGATTTGGAATACTGTTATTTATGCCCTCTCTGAAATCCAAATCTGAAAATACCAATTTTGGGGGGTGCACATCCCTAGCTAAGTGCAAGAAAAAAGTATGCTTGTTCATGTTGCAACATGTTAGTCAAATAAGGAAATCTCTTCTCTATTTACCTCTTTCCTTTGTTTGACTATGGATTTAGGACAACACGCATTGTCTTGTTAGGATCCCCACAAATCTTGTTCAGACCTGCACACTTTTTGTTGAACTGCACATCAGAAAACCTACTGCTTTGCTTTTTCCAGATGTGTTTGGATAGTTTCTCTGTGGCTCAAATTAGACACACTAAAGCAACTTTCCAGGATGTTTTTGATTCCAGTTGGGTAGACATGTTAGTCTGCTGCAGCAGAATAAAACAGAAGTCTAGAGGCATCTTAAAGACTAAACAAGTTTATTCCAGCATAAGGTCTTGTGAATCAGACTTCGCTTCTTCAGACGCATTTGGAGTGCAAAATTATTTACAGAGAATTTTATTATGGATCTTTACCGATTGATATATTTCACACATTTTTCATGTTTATGCTTAATTATACTTTAATTATACTTTAAGATTTTTCATGTTGTGTTTATTGTTGTAAGTTTTTTTGAATGCCAGGTTGATGAAACAGCATGCTATCCATTTAATGAATGAATATAGCTCACTCCAAGGGAAATTTTGCGTGGCCCAGGTCCTACTGACTATCATGCCTATTTGCAGTGCACAATACATTCTGCAAAATCAGAGCAGGAACTATATGATGGACATAAAAAAAATAATGAGCTATTGTACTGATAGATGAAAACACTGTAAACAGCTTGCATGTTTTTCAAGATCCTCAGTTAATTGGTAGAAACATGGGTTGACAACATTAAACAGGTTGTATTTTGTACTATGAACAGAGAATGAGAGAGTAACAAAAAATGGAATGATGTAAAATTAGAAAGCAAAAGTGTATAGATGTATGAAACCATTTAGTTTTAAAGAGCAAATATGATGCCCACTTTATTATTTGAAACAATTAATAGTTTTCCCTTCTCTTTCCCCCCCTTTTTCTTCCTAGTTCATTATTCTCTGATGTGCGTTTGACCTTCCTGTCTGTGAAATCCATGTGCAACTGTTCAGTAGACGATTAAAGCACTATAACACCCCATTTGCGCCTGTTCATAACAGTGCTGCTCTCCTTAGACAACCGTATGACAACCTTTAAGAAATATCAGTCTGTGATGGGTCTAATTTCATTTTGCTGCCTTTTAGTATTATAATGCTACAGGTTTACTTTCTGTGAACCAGGGACATTTTTAAGAAGTGTCATCTGGTTGAATATTAGGAACTCTGATGGGGTTTAATTGGGACTGTGGCTTCTGTAATTAGATAATGAATTGTCCTAATAAACTAGAAACCAAAAGTCAGTGGCTTACTGGATTTACAGTACAGTCCTAAGCCTTCAGTGGACTTAGAAGGGCGTAACTTTCTTTAGGATTGCAGAGTTAGACAAAATCATGTTCTGCTCTAGCATGAGTAAGAAACAGAATTTAGAATGGGGTTATGCAGCTAAAACCAATTTGATTCTCAGTGGCTTGGGTCACAAAGGGCTGGCTACATGACTAGTGCTCAGGCCAGTGAAGTCCCTGAGTACGTCTCTTTACTTTCCCCTTATCAGTGAATAATTTCCACACATTCCAAAGGGGAATAATTTTAATGTAGGAATAATTTTACACACTGCCCTGTGACACAGTGATCTAGCCACAGAGACACCATCAGGAAAACAATGTACAACCTACCTTAAAGGAGAATCTCTTATTAGTGTTGGCACTGTTTTTGGAGTGTGTGCTTATCATTTGCATGGGTGGATTTCTACCTGTCATTTCACACAGATTTGCATGTCATGTCATGTCATGTCATGTCATGTGATAGTATAGCTTGTAAGTGTCCAGATTGCCAGTATAAATACAGGAGCAGAGATCAATGTCTTTATTGCACAAAGTAATGTCTACTTGCTTTTGCTTATTCTGGTCCTCCTTAAGTGACAAAAGACTTTGGTTTCAAGAGCAGTTGACACAAAGTAATATCTTTATTGCACAAAGTAATATCTACTTGCTTTTGCTTATGCTGGTCCTCCTTAAGTAGCAAAAGACTTTGGTTTCAAGGGCAGTTGACACAAGGCAAATTTGTGCATAGGATGGATCCCATGCTGTAGCTACAGGTAAGCAGTGGCCCTTTTCATAGACAGTTCAGGGAGTAACTACATGCTACTTGGCGACACCAGCAACAGGGTCTGAGTGCTGTTTTTGGGAAAACCAATCAGCTTAAGAAGGGGAGATTTAGACTGGAGAAGTTGTAGGAAGATGGAAGGGGTGCTTAATCCTTTCAACATTAAGAAGAACTCAGGTGGGTAGCCATATTGGTCTGTAGCAGCAGAACAAAGTTTGAGTCCAGTGGCACCTTTAAGACCAACGAATTCTTATTCAAAATGTAAGCTTTTGTGTGTAAAGCTTTGCACATAAAAGCTTACACTTTGAATAAAACCACATTGGTCTTAAAGGTGCCACTGGACTCAAACTTTGCTCTCCTTTCAATATGAGTATAATAAAGGCTTGCTTGCTGAAGGAAGGGGTTTTCATCAGTGGAAAAGGCCTCTTCCCTCCTGCTGCAGCCCCAGACCGTAGCTGAAATGCTATTCCTGGGTGATGGACTGGGGAGTTTGGCAAAATAATAGCCCCCATTACTGTTCCCATGGGAACCAACCTAAAGATTCTTCTGGCAGATTTATTGTGGCATAAATCTTTGTGAGCCAGGGCCCACTTCACCAAATGTCCCTTTCATCATTTTATCACCAACTAGTTTCTGCACAAAATTGCCTCTCATAACCCTTTGTCTGGAACTCAGGCAGGGGAAAAAAGCAGTTTGGGTAATAATGGTTAAGAGCAGAAAAAGTTGGGGAGGAAGGGATTATGCAGCTTCTCCACCTCACACTTCCTTTGATTTGTTGCTGCTTTACTAAAAAAACAGAGAAAACTGGAGAGCCAGTTTGGCGTAGTGGTTACGTGCGCGGACTCTAATCTGGGAGAACCAGGTTTGATTCCCCACTCCTCCACTTGCACCTGGCTGGATGACCTTGGGCAAGCCGTAGTTCTGATAAGAGCTGTTCTTGAAAAAGAGCAGTTTCTGTCAAGAGCTCTCTCAGCCCCACCTACCTCACAGGGTGTCTGTTGTGGGGAGGGGAAGGGAAAGGAGTTTGTAAGCCGCTCTGAAGCTCCTTTGGGTAGTGAAGGGCGGGATATAAATCCAAACTCTTCTTCTTCTGGCACTGGGGCTCTCTTTCAGATATTTGCATGTGCTGTGTAGGTAGCCCCTCCTACCTGAGCTCAGTGGGCCTTTGAAGGAGAGTTGTAGGAGTAAAAGGGCCTCCCCAGAACTGAGGGACTTCCCTGAAAGCCTGAGCTTCTTGTGCTTTCCCTTTTGTTGCCATCATTTCCCCCTCCCAAAGCAAAATCACAGCATGAAACTTCAAAGGGAGCCTGAGAAAAGCCTGCAGTTAATTTCTAGCTTTCAGTTGCTTGTTGGTTGGTGGATGTCATGGAACATCATCAGAGCCATTTAAATCACGGCATTAGGATAGCAGAAATTGTTTCTGAGGCTTTTATTTGCAGTGTTTATGTTTTGCAATGTGTCAGTTCCTGTTGCCTTTAATGAATACTGAATGATCTAATCTCTGTCTCCTACGTGAATCTATATTAGCTCAATTAGAATAATGCTGTAACTAAATGCACATGCACACAGGATGAGAAGAAGCAGGTGCTGAATAAACCTTACCAAATCATATGATGGGTGGAAACTCCTGACATCACTGTATGCTTTGAACTGGGGTTGATGCTAGTCTGAATTTGCAACTACCATTTTGAACACACCTCCCAAGATTCCCCCCCCCCAATGTGTTTCTTTGTTTTACAGAAAAAAACAATAGATGTTTGCAGGAAAGAGGTAATTTTTCTTTCACTTTTGTAATAAATATTTATTACTGTTATTTGTATTAATAATTTTAAATGTCTAGCCCTAATAAGAATATCCTTTCCCCTAATTGCTATATATAACTAAGATCTAGACTTTGCACTTACCACATTCATGTAATAGGCAGTTGATGTTTTGTCTTTGGGAAGCCATCTCACAAATTTAGTAATAATTTAACATGATATTTTTATTTCTTTTAGAGTCCAGTGGCACCTTTAAGACCAACAAAGTTTTATTCAAGGTATGAGCTCTCGTGTGCATGCACAGTTTTTCAAATACATTGGAATGGAAGGTAATGTTCAAACTTATATCTAGGTTCAGTTCCTGTCTGTAAGTCTGAACCATACCTTCTGTTCCAATGTATCTGAAAAGGTGTGCGTGCACACGAGAGCTCATACCTTGAATAAAACTTTGTTGGTCTTAAAGGTGCCAGTGGACTCTAAACTTATCCTGCTGCTTCAGACCAACACGGCTACCACCTGGATCTAATTTTATTTCATGGCATTGTTTGTCCAATGGGACATGGCTTTGACAAGCATCTGTGTCTGCTGATGTCATAGCTATTTATTTGGGTTCCTGAATTTTTGCATGACTATCTAGGCTTCTGTTTTTCTATAGTTGCACTTGAAAGTAGTAGCCCCCAAAATTCTCTGCTAGTATGTCTGTGTTCCATGACACAAACAGATGATCTTTGCAAAACAAATAAACTATTTGCACGTTATATTAAAATTTTTATAAACAGTAGCAAACTACGGATGAAAACAATGTGGGGTGTAGTGGTTGAATTTGGATCAGGGAGACCTGGGTTTAAAAAACCCACTCTTCCATGAAGCTCACCATTCTAAGGCCAGTCTCTCTCTCTCAGCCTAACCTACCTTCAACAGGTGATGTGAGGATAAAAGAGAGAGGGGGGAACCATGTACTTCACTATGTTGACAAGGAAAACAGTTCAGAAACCACTTTATCAACTTGAGTTGGAGTGCTACCAAGGATTTATGGGATCTGAGTCACTAAGGAGATCTCCTCCCACAGCATCACAAAATAACAGTTATAAAAAGTTCACCACACAATGTGACACTGTGTACAACTTACCATACATAGAAACACGGAGCTGGAAGAGTCAAGGGTCATCAATCCAACCTCCTACACAATGCAGGAAATTCACAACTTATCTTCTCCTTCACTCCCCCAGTGGCCCCTGCTCTATGCCCAGAGGCAAAGAACCTCCAGGATCCCTGGCCAATCTAGCCTGGAGGAAAATTCCTTTCTGACCCCAAAGTGGCAACCAGCATTTCCCTGGGCATATAAGAAAGGGCCACGAGAACTAAGCACTGAGGCAACCCTTCCTTCCCCCCCTCTCATGATCTACCTAAGTTCACAGAATCAGCATTGCTGTCAGATGACCATCTAGCCTCTGCTTAAAAACCTCCAAAGAGGGAGAGCCCACCACCTCCCAAGAGGGAGAGCCCACCACCTCCCAAGGAAGCCTGTTCCACTGAGGAACCACTCTAACTGTCAGGAAGTTCTTCCTAATGTTTAGCCGACAACTCTTTTGATTTAATTTCAGCCTGTTGGTTCTGGTCCATCCTTCTGGGGCAACAGAAAACAACTCTGCTCCATCCTCTATATGACAGCCCTTCAAATACCTCTTAGCCTTCTCCTCTCCAGGCTGAACATACGCAGCTCCTTCAGCCTTTCCTTATAGGACTTGGACTCCAGAACCCTCACCCTCTTCTGGACATGTTTTGGCTTGTCAACATCCTCCTTAAACTGCAGTGCCCAAAACGGAACACAATACTTCAAGTGAGATCTAACCAGAGCAGAGTAAAGTGATACCATCTATACTTCTGTCGATGCAGCCCATGCATGCAGCACTTTCTCATGCCACTCATCATGTTAAAAAACAAATCATATGACAAATGTAATATCTAGACTGGACCTTATTGTGAGATTCCATAGACTGCTCTGAGTGAGCCCCTCATGCAAGACTAGCCAGATTTCACTCTCTGGACCAGTTTCAATGCCACTACCATTATCAACCCTTCCTTTACATCTAGTCAGGTAAAGATTCCTGGGGACATTTGAACAATTAATCCTTGGCTTGGACTCAGCCTTTTAATGAAGTCACTTTCTTTCCAGAACTAGTCTAATTTTTTATGCTTGAGGCAGAAACTCTAAATGCCCCCCATTAATCCAGAATTACTATTGTGATACCATGTTGAGTACATGTGCACTGTGCTACATATTGGATCACCTCTGTGTTGATTTATTTACTATTCTCCAGCCCACACATATCTGTGACTCCCTGTTATGCTTTATCACCCCCCCCCCCATCTTTGCCTCTCCATGTGACAGATGGTAGTGCATTTTGCATGGCAGGTGGTATACAATGAACTCTCAAAAAAGTACCTGCCTTCCTAAGTGCTTGCTTCGGCAGCGCATATACTAGAATTGGAACAATACAGAGAAGATTAGGATAGCCTTTTTGGCACTCTCCTCAGCACCTTCTTACGGGGGGATTGCCCAGTGTCAAGTTGTGAGATAAAATTTTTTACTAGTTTCTTGGTTGGTAAACCCCACCAAATGTCTACTGATCTACCAACAACAAAAAATGTCTTTGTAGATCATGTACTACCAGCAGGCTCTGAAGAAGACCAGAGTAAAGTGTTCTGTCTCTCTGGAAGGGTAAGTTCTGACATCCTTCATGTCCATCAGTTAATTACCCACAAATTCAATGCTGTTAATAATGAGTATGTCTTTAAAAGTTGAGATCCCCTGACAGATGTCTGCCTTGAAACAGACCTTCTGACCTGGAAGTCTTAACCTTCCAGTTCATGATTTAGGATAGAATACAGTTACTCAGTACGGAAACGTTCTTTGCATTTGTGTTACCATGATGAGGTGGGAATTGCGGTTACCTCATCCTGTGAGCTGGGTGAGTGGGGAGCTGCCTACTCTCTTCCTGGGTGATGGCAGGCCAGGGTGAGTCATCACAAGCCCAAGCAAGCAAGAAGCTGCGACTGCCCCACAAGCCAAGTGGACATGGAGCCTGCTGGTGGCGGCGCTTGCCATGGAAGAAGTCGGATGGGGGGTGGGGTGGCTGGTGGCAGAGAAGTAGCTGTCAGACACCTGTTCTTTCTCCTTCTCTTGTGGGAGCATGGAAGGAGAAGGCCAGGCAGGGGAAGGCATACCAGGCAATGGGGCAAGCTGCCACAGCCCCAGACAAGTAAGGAGCCAGTGCTGCCCCATGGACCACATGGGTGCAGAGCCCAGCAGAGGAGCTGGAAGGGGAACAGGCTGGGCAGGGCAACGTGGTGGGGGAAGAGCTTGCTGCAAGAGGAGGATGTAGGAGAACTGAGATTCCTTCCTCCTAAAGGGGAAAAAATTAATGTTCAACTGAAACTTTTGAGCTCCTTCTCAAGGTGCCTTTTGCAGAGTCGCTAACTTATCAACCAGCCCTGCTCCTCTGTCTTTAAGGCAGGGGAACAGGCTGGGCAGGCAGGGCAAGGTGGTGGGGGAAGAGCCTGCTGCAAGAGGAGGAAGTGGTGGTCAGTCACCCTCTTTCTCTCCCTTCTTTCCTTGTGATTTAGAAGAACAGATTTCTTCCTCTTAAAGGGAAAAAAATTAATGTTCAATTGAAACTTTTGAGCTCCTTCTCAAGGTGTCTTTTGCAGAGTCGCTAACTTTTCAACCAGCCCTGCTCCTCTGTCTTTAAGGGCAGCTTGCTCTGCAGACATTAAAGCTGATTTCCACTTTGTGAAAAGGCTTTGCCTGCTTTCTGAGGGACAGCCTCTTTATTAGGTCAGGTTTTTCCTTGTCAGTTCCAAAATGTTGTTCCTGTGGGTTAGTTAGTGGACCCTCGGGAACAACCTAGTGGGATCTGCAGTGTCACGGGGGAATTGGGGGAAATCAGTGCAGCTTTATATATGAGTACTGGCACGTAAAAAAACCCTAAAAGCACTTATTTTCAATCAGGCTTTCTCTGTGCCATTTTGGAGAAGGATATGTGGAAAACTGCAAGTAGTGTAATTTGAATCACGTTAGTGCTAAAAGGCTCTTTGTTTTGTGAAGTTACCCAAGACCTGTGTCACCGTCTCCTTGATTTCCTCCCTTCCATTGTGGTTGAAATAATTGCCCACAGATGACCATCCGTTTTTCTGCTTCAATGCTTCCAGATTAGTGAAGTACTCTGAGCAATTCCGCTCCAGCGATCCCATCCTTTCAGGATGCCTCCCCAGCATCCCCTGGATCACCGATGATGTTGATTTTTGGGAGCTCAATGCAAAGATGTATGTATGGCATTTCCCTTCAGCTTGTGAGGTACACTGACTGACATCTGTACTCTGAGCAATTTATAGCTGCTTATGGTCAATGTTCCCTCTAAGCTATGGAGTCTTGTTAGCAAAAATTCTACTTTGTGAGCTGCTGGCATTAAAGCTGCGAGCGAGCGATTTGGCTAATGCATAGATTAGTTTGCTTTGGAGCCACCCTTCCTGAGCTAAGACAAAAATGTGTGAACCAGAGGCTTAAAAACGGTGAGCTAGCTCACACTAACTCAGCTTAGAGGGAACACTGCTTATGGTATCCTGTTTAGTACTGAGCTGTGAGGTATCTAAGGCAGTGAGCTCTGATTCATGAAAGCTCATGCTGACAAAAAAAAATTGTTAGTCTTTAAGATGCTACTGGACTACTGTGTAATTTTCTAAGGTCTTAATTATCTTCACCCAGAGAAGGTGCCCACCACTTTTAAAAGTTTCAAGGCATGGATAGAAGATGCAGCCCTCATGCTTCTTGCCAGGGTGGTCCGCTGTCCGCCCCGCTCCTGCCTTCATCAGCAGCCAAGAGTTTAGTGGTGTGGGTAAGCGAGACCAAGAGTGGGAGGTGAAGTAACAGCACCTTTTCTTGGTCCTTTGGCACTTTTAAAGGGAGAGGCACCAGGGTGAAATCTTGGCAGCTACATTGATGGGATTTTCCTCTCCTTTTATCCAGCTATGCCCAGATATACTGGGCATCGTTTTCTTTAACCAAAGGATAATCCTGACTTAAACCAGGTGTTATGTTCACATTACAAACCAGGTTAAACAAGAGCCAGCTTAAGCATCATTTGTGGTGCCCTAAGAGCTGATCAAAAGATGATGTGCTGTTGACAGTAAATGGAAGCACAAGGATGTATCTTGTCACATTGTGTAAGCTCTGATAAATATAATTAGGATTTAGACTTTCTTCTCTGAAAACAAAAATCAAAAATATCAAGTGAGTGAAGCAATATCTTGCAAATCAAAACTGGGGTATAATGATCCAGTCCCATACAATGATGCTTAATTACCAGCTATTTTAGTGGTCTGATCTCAGGAATTCAATATGGCATACTGGAAAGAAATGGAAAAATATCTTTACAGCTAAGTAGAGAGGGGGCTTCTGCTTTCTAAATACACAAGAATAGATGGACAACTTGACTCACAGAATCTGATTTCAGAGAGACACAGCACCAGCTATTTGTAATAAAACTTTTTACAGGGTGGAAACCCCCACCAAAAAACGTGTAGAAAGATGGTCCTTGAATTTTGCGGAGCTGATGAGGGATCCCAAAGGCCGCAAGAGCTTCCGGCTGTTCCTGCAGAAAGAGTTCAGCGGTGGGTATGAAGTTGTGTCTTTCCTCCCACCTTTTTAGTTCCCTTTCGTATTGCTATGGGGCACCCAGTCATATTTGGTTAGCTGAAATTAACTTCATTGGGGGGGAAAGCCTCTGTTTCTTCTGCTTACAATAGGTGAGGTGATCTGAGGTAACGGGGGTATACCCTCAAACAGATTGAAACTGTCTATTATAGATCTGGCCTGCCTGGGAAGCAAGTGTGTCCTAAGCCATCTAGTGGTACAAGTCAGATATAAAACAACATCAAACAAAGGCGCTCTGTGACATGTAACATAGCTTGGCTGGGAAACTCAAAGCATTTAAACTTTACAGTTTATCTGTATCTGATACATTCCACATTAATAGTAAGTTAGACAGGACAGCCCAAGTAATGTTTATTATTTATCTATTAAGCACATTTTGATCCTGCCCTTCTTCCAAGGAGCTCAGTTTTCTCCCACCTCCATTTTGCCCTCACAACAACCCTGTGAGGCAGGTTAGGCTGAGGAACTGGTCTATGATGACACTTGAATTTGAATCTGGGTCGCCTGAATCTTAGCATGGTTATACCACACTGGGAAGATCATCTTGTTGTTGCCAATGCTCAAGGAGCGTTAAGGTTTTTTGACTTGTGTGGCTAGCCAATAAAACACACAATGAAAACAATAATCCAGGCAGTAAAGGGTAATAAAAAGTATTTATTCGAATATGGAACACCCTACAGCTTAATTCAGCCTGGGTGTTCAACGAGCAAATGCAGTAAGCAGACTTGTATATTCTTCTTGCTCCTCCTCACTTTACATCATCACTGACATCATGTAGACATGCTCAGTTCAGTTTTCTTTGGCACACAGGATGTCAATTGGCTGAGTTTTCCCACTCCTACAACACAGGTACAGCTCATTATTTCTAATTTACAGCTTTGTTTACTCCTTTGGCACTACTCCCAGACTTCTGTTACCTCTGACTGAACCTTTCAGGCTGGGTTCATTCTCAGTATTAAATTGCCAGCTCAGTTACCACTATTGTTCTTCTTTCACATTAATACTCGCATATAAACATATCTTAAAGCATTTTATACACTTATTTTTACTCAAAATATGAAAACATATCATTACAATGACATTCTAAAGCATTAAACTCCTTACATGAATTCTTTTAGTGTTTCAAAATACCTTGTAGCATTAAGCTCTTGTAAATACATTGATTTACACATTATTATTCATTTTGGTTTATCAAAATATTTTTACAGAATATTTCTGGTCATTTTATGAAGCTGCTTGTGTTAATATCAAAATTTATAATTTGTAAAACACATAGCTCAGTTCAGCCTGTAGGAGACACTGTTCTTCAATACAAATTCTGTGCCTCTAATTGACCCTATTTAATTGGTGCCAGGAGTCATAATCTAATACCAACCTATGCTTTTCTAATTGATAGATTGTACATTATTTGACTCTGTGAAATCATCTTTAATAGAGAATATTTGCTTTTTATACATACCTTATACATTAACTTGTGTTAAACATAACATGAAATTCTAAAACACACAAAGGGATTTCTTCTGTTACAATACATAATAGCATTATTTTATTCTAATTAGACTCTTCCCTTTGAAGTAAGCGAGGGAGCAATTGGCAGTGATACAAGCTTTCCCAATTAGCATTACTAGCAAACAAAACTTTCTGTTATTCCAGTTGAAAATGCAGAGTCTTTTCTTCTCTATGATTCAGCATCCCTAGCTTAAAGAATAACATAGCCTGCGTTTAACTATAGGCTTCCATTGTCAGCTTATAGACATTCAGACTTGCTATATCTTAAACATTGTATATGTTAGACATGATATCTCTCATTTAAGCTCTCATTGGGAGTTGCATTCCACAAAGCAAAAAAACGCTTTAAACTTTTAACCTGGCTGGCTAATTGTGTCAGGTCAACTTGGCCGAAGTTGGCAAAAAACTTTAAGGGAGGAATACACCTGGAGTTCAAAGAACACCCTCCCTATTCCTTTGAAACAACAGGATGGCAGCTCTTAATTGGAAGTTGGCAAAGAATTAAAACAAGGGCTAGAAAAACATGTCAACTAAAATGATTGAAATCATTTGGTGTTATACAACACAGTCTAGTGTTCTAAAACAGGATGTTAATCCTCCAGGAGAAACCCAAAGAATTTTATCCCATAGGTTTCTTTAAAGCAGCAATAATCAATAAAGAAAAATTTGAACCCAGGCAACCTCTACATTGTCATTCAAGGTGAGAAAAGCTGCATGTGCTGAAGTTCTAGAAAACTATTAACAGTTGTCCTCTACATCAGACTCTCCTAGAGTTAGATTATTTCAGTTTATGGTATTGGATAATAAGCTCATTTCTCTTTCTCTTTGCATTCAGGGGAAAACCTGGCCTTTTGGGAAGCTTGTGAAGATCTGAAAAATGGAGACCAATCCAAGGTGAAAGAGAAAGCACAAGAAATTTACAAGTGAGCATAGAATTATGTTAGAATAACCTTCCTTCTGCCTTCTCCTCATTTATTTGTTATTGATTTTAAAATATTTATATACTGGTTTCCAGTAAACCAGAAGGTGGTTTCCAGTAAAACATATGAAATCGCATTGCATAATAAAACGATTGTAACAATTAAAATAGTCAATCAACATTGCAAGCATAAATAGAGAATATTGTTGCAAAGTAAATTAAAACCCACAGCTATAAAATGTAGATCTAAAAGTCTAAAATCTTGGTCAACAAAGCCAACTTCCTAACCTGCAATTTACAAAGGTAAAAATCTAAATAAATAAGTAAACAAGTTTTGCCTGGTGCAAGAAAATTAGAACATTTGTTGTTTGGAGATGGAAGTTATTTTATAAAACAAGGTGCTACAGCAAAAAAGACCCTCATAATCTACTTTACTGCTGAAGATAAAGGCCCACAGAATAGTGCCTTAAAAGTTAGGCAGGCTCAAGTGGGAGCAGGGAGTCATTTACAAGTCACACCCTGTTTAGGGCTTTAAAGGTAGGAACAAGTACATTGAATTCAGTCTTGAAACAGGCAACAATTGCAGATCCTTAGTCACTGGCATAATGTGTTTCCTTGCTGCTGTGCCCTGAACCAGCTGGAGATTCTGAACTATCTTCAAGGACAGCCCCATGTAAATTGGATTGCACTAATCTAATCTGGAGGTGACCACAATTTGGATAATCAAGGCTGTATCATGGTTTTCAAGGAAGATTTGCATCTGGTGATTCAGCCAAAATTGGTTACAGGCATTGTGTGTACATGCAAGACTTGGACATTAATCTTCAGAAGCAGATCTAGTGGCACCCCAGGCTGCAATCTCTCAAGAGTGATACAGCCACCTCTGGTGCAGGCACTTGATCAGCACCATTCATTTGTTCTGATACAATTTTTTGTAAAAATACTTAAATGCAAGCTTGAAGTTTTGTTCCCAGACTTACCAATATTTTAAAACCCTTTGTCATACAGTTTGCAGCTTTTGAGCATAAGAATCTCTGCTGGAAGATGTGCAACTGCAAAAAGCTACTGAATGTAAAGGATGGCTACATAATGTTATCCCAATAATGTAATTATCTGCATACTTATCTGGGAATACGTGATAGAGAACATAGCCATTCATTATTAGTTTTGTTTCTTTTTCCCTCACAGTTGGAGACTTAACTAGCTAAATGAGGAGGAGGCTTTAGAATCTTGAGGAGGATTTAGAATATCCTGACTGAAAGATCAGCTGAAGCCACCAAAAAGACTTGCACCAGTTCTGGTGTACGTGTGAGGTGTGTGTGTTATTCTCCACTGTAAAGTTAATGGAATTAGAAGGGTCTCCATACATTCTTTCTTCCCATATATCCCCCTCCCCTTTATTTTCAATTTCAGAACCTTCCTTGCACCAGGAGCAAGACGTTGGATCAATATTGATGGTACCACTATGGGCATCACAGTCAGAGGCCTCAAACACCCTCATCGCTACGTCTTAGATGCTGCACAAACTCATATTTATATGCTCATGAAAAAGGTTTGTTATTTTTGTTTATAAATACAGAGTGCATATCTTTTCCAGCTGTCTAAATACGTTTACTGTAACTCTCCCTAAAACCTGTGTGGGAAAGAACACTCTCAATATATTTGCATCTCAGTATGTACCCTGGTGAATATACCTATGTGCACTCAAAGAATACACGTGGAAGAAATTTAGTCTTGGGTAGGGATGCTTGAACACCTGCCAGGTTGGCTCACTTTCAGTGGTGATCAGACAGCGAACTAATTCCCAGGCTGTTTGCAGCCTCTTTGGTCCTTTCCGCAGTAGACCTTAAATCCTAGTATTTTTGTTTCCACATTACATTTAGGTCACCCTGGTTTCACCCCGCACTTGTCCCGGGATAAATGGATGCTGTTATAACCAGGGATAAATGCAAGGAATTGTGTACTGAGCTGAACTCTGATAAAACCAGGGATGAGATCCAAGTGCGGAAAGGACCTTTGTGTGTATTTGCAAGAGCAGGTTATTTGCAGCTCCCAGCAGCTGACTTGCAGTTGATGAGGGATCAGCTGGGAATTGGCTTCTAATCTCCTGCAGGGAAGATTTTGCTCTGTACTCAGCAAAGTTTTTAAGGGGGTTGAGTGGGAAATCAGGAACCCAGTCCCAGCTGATAAGCTGTAAGTGGGGTTCTTCTGATCTCCTATCCTAGAAGCTTTACTGCCTCCCAGACTTGCTGAGATGCAGCGCATTTAGCAGGGGGGTGTCTCTTCTCCCCAGAGAAAAGGAGACAAAGGAGCTGTTTCTCCTCCCCCTTTGCAATGGGAAGCTCAGGAGCCAGAACTTTTAATGAGTAGTGGCACAGGGGGGGAGGGAGGCTCTCACAAGTCCTGAGGGAGGAATTGGTGGAAATGGGTGCTACCTTATAAGTACCTGCACCTTTTAAAAAAAACACAAAAAAGCAATGTCAGAAACATTTCTTCTTTCCCTGCTCAGCTTGGAATGGAGGGAAGAAAAAGAATCGATGTTTTCCTTTCCTTTTTGCAACTTCACTGTGTAGCTATTTTGCTCGGGGGCAGAATCAGAACCCAACTCTGCTGACCAACTGATAGTCTGCTTCTGACAAACAGGCAAATTTGTTCAGCAGCTGTTTGAGTTGCTTTATGGGTCTCTGTTTGGCCCACTGACTGATGTGAGTTTCAAACATAAGTCTGAGTTCTGAACTGGTTTGCTGAGGAATCTGCAGCATCCCTAGTCTTGGAGAACTGGTTGTGTTGCTGGCCTAGGCCAGTTTTTGGCCATGCAAAGTTTACCTGTTAATGATGAAACAACTGAAGCTTTGTTGCTACAAGATGCTCCTATAAAGATCCAAGCATGGGTGGTACGAGAAGGGATGGATACACTTGGCACAAAGTATCCAAAGCCTGACCTAGTTTACAGAACTATTGCCAGGACACAATATGTTTATCTAACTTCAGAAATAAAATAGTCATTTTTCTCTCATAACTCATGAGACAGTATATTGGGACAGGATCAGGTGTGTACAGGGCCCCTGCCTTGGGCCAGAAAAACTATGCTTGAAAATAAAAGCAGATTTGAACATGGAAGTTTAACCTGACTCACCTTTACCTTTGCCATTTGCATTTAAAGTCATATAGAAGATTTCTTGAATTCTTTGGAAGTTCTCTATATATTGTGCCATTGGTTTTCAACCTTTTCTATCCTGGGGTCAGTTTTTTAAACATTTCTGCCCATTTCTCTTTC